CACTACCTCTCAAATTTCTCATGTTCCTGATTCCTAGTCTCTGAAAGAAACGTACCTTGTCAATGAAAATAGAGGCATGTTTTATCTGGTGTAAGGAATGCTCACAGCACAGACTGCACCACAAAGACAAGGCTTAGGCCCATAAATGCTCCTCTCCCTCCCTCCCTCCCTCCCTCCTGGATTATCTCATCAAAGTTGTTATAGGGCCTTCAATCATACCCACCAAAAGCTTTTATTTCAAGCCACGCCTCCAAGCCCTCTGAGTATGAGAGCCGAGACTGTTACTTCCCTGCTTTCATACCATAACATATAATGATGTCACATGAGTTTGCACAGTGCCTTTACTGTTTGCCATAGAGAATCATTGTATGGTTCTCTATGACAGAATCATAAGAGCAGTGCTGCGCATGCACCTAGGTCCCTAATTCTGACATCCAAGATGACATCAGATGAGGAGGAGGCTTTGGCAGCACGGAGGGACACTAAACCCAGGATAGAAACTGAGTAATTTTTTTAATGCATTTAATTATTTTTTTTTCGACTGGGGAGCCCTGAACTAAGTAGGCACATTAAGACTGAATGCATTCCTAATGCTACATTTTTCCTTTACAGATGACCAATTTAAAGCAATCAAAAGAGAAATGGGCACGCCACTGCATACCACTATAAATCTGTGCATGTAATACTTAGATAAGATGAAGATGATTGAATACATTTGTACATGCTTCCTGTGGTTCTAAATTATTGTTTGGTGTGGAAATAATTAACAGGCTTAAATCTATTATTTTTTTAAAATGTTCTAAAAATTATTTCCCTTCATTTGTGAGAGTGGTGGGAATGTAAAATTATAAATTGCTGTTCCGTACAAGGATACGAAACGTGAGTTTCCATAGCAATGCCCTGATGAATGTCTGCTGCCATGGAAACAGTTGGAAGGTGGATGTGAGGTGAATGTTTTTCAGAATAATATGATCTGTAGAATTCAGTGACAGAATCTGATTTTACTAGACTGACTTAATTCACACCCTATTTTAGAGATCACAATTAATTAAATAATTATTTTCTGTGTCAAAGAAAAAAAAAAATACTCAGATTGTGTCTTGGGCTCAAATCACTGGTGAACTGAAAAGCAAAAACTAGGATAAAATCAATTCCAGTTATGTGATTTAAAGAACAAATGTGTCAATTGTTACTGTAGTGGACATTTTCTCTGATTTGAAATGCTTTCTTGATTTTACCAAAAACGAATATTCATATTTTATCTGATAGACCGAAAGCCGGTAGCCAGCATATATTCATATATAAAAATTAAAAGCCAAATCTTTTGTGATACTATACTGTGATATATGCACTAACTTAAAAAAGAAAAAAAAAATCAACTTAAACATTTACAGGTGCCCAAACCAGCTGTAACACGCAAGCGAAAAATATTAAGCTACAAAGGTATTTTATTTAGAATCTCATGACTTGTGCAAATTGCCTAACCTCCCAAGTTAATCATTTTACCACAACAGGTTAGAGTAGCAAAATGCTTGACAGTAAATATATAGAAAATAAATACAGTTGCAAGAAAAAGTATGTGAACCCTTTGGAATGATATGGATTTCTGCACAAATTGGTCATAAAATGTGATCTGATCATCATCTAAGTCACAACAATAAACAATCACAGTCTGCTTAAACTAATAACACACAAAGAATGAAATGTTGCCATGTTTTTATTGAACACACCATGTAAATATTCACAGTGCAGGTGGAAAAAGTATGTGAACCCCTAGACTAATGACATCTCCAAGAGCTAATTGGAGTGAGATGTCAGCCAACTGGAGTCCAATCAATGAGATGAGATTGGAGGTGTTGGTTACAGCTGCCCTGCCCTATAAAAAACACACACCAGTTCTGGGTTTGCTTTTCACAAGAAGCATTGCCTGATGTGAATGATGCCTCACACAAAAGAGCTCTCAGAAGACCTACGATTAAGAATTGTTGACTTGCATAAAGCTGGAAAGGGTTATAAAAGTATCTCCAAAAGCCTTGCTGTTCATCAGTCCACGGTAAGACAAATTGTCTATAAATGGAGAAAGTTCAGCACTGCTGCTACTCTCCCTAGGAGTGGCCGTCCTGTAAAGATGACTGCAAGAGCACAGCGCAGACTGCTCAATGAGGTGAAGAAGAATCCTAGAGTGTCAGCTAAAGACTTACAAAAGTCACTGGCAAATGCTAAAATCCCTGTTAGCGAATCTACAATACATAAAACACTAAACAAGAATGGTTTTCATGGGAGGATACCACAGAGGAAGCTACTGCTGTCCAAACAAAACATTGCTGCACTTTTACAGTTTGCACAAGAGCACCTGGATGTTCCACAGCAGTACTGGCAAAATATTCTGTGGACAGATGAAACACACAACACTATGTGTGGCGAAAAAAGGCACAGCACACCAACATCAAAACCTCATCCCAACTGTGAAGTATGGTGGTGGGGCATCATGGTTTGGGGCTGCTTTGCTGCGTCAGGGCCTGGACGGATTGCTATCATCGAAGGAAAAATGAATTCCCAAGTTTATCAAGACATTTTGCAGGAGAACTTAAGGCCATCTGTCTACCAGCTGAAGCTCAACAGAAGATGGGTGTTGCAACAGGACAATGACCCAAAGCATAGAAGTAAATCAACAAACCAAAGGGTTTACATACTTTTTCTTGCAACTGTATGTTCTTTATTCACCCACAAACTCATAAGGGAGGGGGGTTCAAAAAAACAAGACAGAGTTTGTAGATCTCAGTATAAAGCAGGCATAAGCTGAATGTGTCCTGTCTTCTCTATAACTCTATGTTTGTTGAGTGGAAATGGGGACTATGTCTGTAGTAATACTATAAGCCTCACAATTGATTCTTGTGTAAAGGGGTGGTCGGGTGACTATTAGGACAATCAATACCATGTGAGGACTGCGCAAGGAATGCGTCGAAAAGGGCGCGAAGAACAGATTTAAAAGACTGCATGCTAGAGTCACACTCATCACCTCCGACGAAGGCATACTGCCGAAACGCGTCAGGTGCTTTTTGGACTTTCTATTTATGGGACTTTCCTTTAATCACTTTGTATTATTTTAATTTGTTTCCTGTTATTGGATTAATAAAAGTGTTGTAACCCCCTGAACCTGCGTTCTCTGGCGGTACACTGGATACAATCTTGGGAAGGACCCAGCTGAAGTCCAAATAGTGATTTATTCAAGGCATGCAGTTTGAGCCAGCTTTATAAGTGGCTCCACTTATGTAAGTGAGACCAGTGCAGAATTTTTAAGTTTCTCATTTTAAACGTTATTAACCTATGTTTTTTTACATTTGTGTTTATTTTCAGAACCTGATCCTAAATTGGGTAATAGTATTTCCATTTATTTGAGTGCTCTCACCATTTTCTTTTTAACTAATCACTCTTATTTATTTAATGGTTATTGTGGCACACTAATGTGATTGTAGCACCACCAGTTTTTTTTACTTAATAAATCATGTTTGCATATTCAGAACTTACTGCTTTTTTCTGGATTGTGTCTATTTTTTAAAAGTAGACAAAATATATACACTTTAATCTACAGCAGTCTCCTGTAATATTTTTACTTATTCTATTATAAGACCACTTTGTTATTATAGAAGTTAAGGATATTTTTTAAAAGTACCTCTCACTTAATAGTTTTGTTTTTTTTTAACAGGAAGGTTTTTAATTCAAGACTATGTCATGTTACACAACATCAGATTTCTCTCCAGGGCTTAGGGTCATAAAATAATTACTAAGAGTAAGAAGCAGCTGAAAAGTTCTTACAAAGACTTCTCATAAAATAACTGCGATAGAATAGCTTTATGAAGAGACCTCCGCTGCTGTTATTATGGGATACTAATGCTACCAAATAACAATTTGTATGATAAAAATTGTATAACCAGCCTCCAGTACTCCTCCAAAAATCGTATGCTATCCGAGAAAACAAGTGGAAATTCTATTCAGAATGGCATTCTCTCACAGTTATTTTATGATATACCCACTTATGAAGTGGAAAGAGATAGTAAATTGAGTAGCTGGTTCTATTTTGGTCTCCTTTTTATCTCTCCATATTTATAACCTTAAATTTTATATGAAATTAATAAAGTATTTGATATTATCTGTATGTAATGTCTTTAGTACAACTCTTGTTATGGTTTAAATTTTTTGCTTGGAGTCTTTGGAATTAATATAAAATATACGTATGCTGGTGGGCATTTTGTTTTCCCCTGTGTTTACTATTTGGCCAATATCGTAAGTTAAATATTTAATTCTAAAGCAACTCCTGAGAATTTTGGGTTAAATTACATTATTTGTAACACATCCTAACTTTTATATTTTTTATATCTGAGATTTAATTAATTCTTTGATGGCAATTTGATGTTGCCAAGCTGAACCATGTTGAGTTCTGTTTAGAGAAGTTTGGATAAGTTAAGTGAATGGATACCTAGATACCTATTTAAACCTGGTTGTCATATATTTTTTTTCACACACATTCAGTGAACCATTTTATAAAACCTGAACATCACAATTTCTGAAGTGTTGTGAAAATGTAACTATAGACTTTAACATTACGTGTATCTAAATAGCTGATGAATCTGACTTTTATAAAACTGATGTTTTCTGTTAGCGGTTTCTAAACCTTTATACAGAAACATAAATGACAAGATCAGGGATTCTAATGTTTAGCCAGCAGAGGGCAGTGTGTCAAAGTGTCTGAGCTTTTTCTGTGGTGGTGGAATGCAGTGATTTTACTAATAGAATGAAAAGCTTCACTTGATTTACGCTAAATCAATAAATAGTGTGATTTTAAAGTGGTAGTTGCACTTCTTAAATATCATTGTTACTGAACAACATTGTAAGCTGATTTTGCAATCGTTTTCGTGAATTTAGAATAAAAATGGCTGTTAGAGTGACATATAATTGTTATGAAAAAAAAAATACCAGTAAATCATTTTTGCATTAGAACACAAATCACATTAAAACAAAAGTCTGCATGTTTCGTATGCTGCAAACTGCTCACATAGCATCCCGTGAATGTTTGAAAAGTCCACCTACCTGGCTGAAGATGGTACTTTTTTTTACTTACAGATTTAAAGCTCTCAGCGGCAAATCATATTAAAACAAAAGTCTGCATGTTTCGTATGCGGCAAACTGCTCACATAGCATCCCGTGAATGTTTGAAAAGTCCACCTACCTGGCTGAAGATGGTACTTTTTTTTACTTACAGATTTAAAGCTCTCAGCGGCAAAATAGATGCCTCCTAATCTTGACTAATGGTAAGTTGCAAAAATACATTGCAGGTTAATAAAGTAATACATTATCAAGTCAAAAAAACAATATAAATTTAGCACCCTTTGAAACAAATTCTAATTGCAAGAATACTCTATAATACATAAAAGAAGAGATGGCGGCGTGGAATTTTATGCCTATGGCACACTTATATTATATATACTGTATAAAAATGTGTCATTAAGCGCTTACACCGAAGAAAAAATGCTCTGTTAATTAGCAAAGAGAAAGATGGCTGAAACTAGCTACATTGCTCTAGAAACAGACCATAAATGGACTTCTTTGTGGCAGCTAGTCAGCTTTCTTTCAGCAGGGGGTGATTGTGGCTGAGCTCACTTAGTTTTCAGGCAGAGCGCAGACCTATTGTTCTCACTTCTCAAGAAATCTTTACTGTAAGGCTTCCAGCATTTTCACAGACACGTGGTATGGAATGAGTGCCTTTCACAGAGCTGCATAATTCTCAATTGGCCTTAACACCTTCAACAAAAAGTAATGGAGTATAATTTATTATAGAGCTTGAAATAACATTCCAACCAGTCTTAAATTAGAGCTTAATAGAAATATGTATAATGCTTTTATTTAATTAAGAATGAAAATACGCCCAGACTTTTAATTTTATGAACTGATTAAAGGGTTGCAAATGAACATACATTTTACATTATTAACATTCTTCTATTTATAAAGCACCAACATATTCTACAGAGTAGTACAATTAATATACCACAACAACAGCAGGAATATATATTTTAAATAAATGGAATTGAAGCATATAAGAAAATAAATTCCCCAAACACTCACATTTTTTAAATTGTTGCTAATAATATGTCCAGTGGAAAATCATCAACAGTTGCTCAAAGTAAATGGTGTTATTATTAGTGGGTATAAAGAAATACATGTTAGAAGCCATAATCGGGTGTTCTTATAACTGTCTAATGTTTAAATGCAACGTTGAAAGTATTTATTTGCATGTAGCCTTCAACAATTCACCAAGCTTACAGTGACATTAAAATAATCACTTGTTTTTTGTTTTTTATTGCAAGCAGAACATTTTCAAAGAACGAAATCCATGTTGTCATTCTATCACAATTTGCAACTAAATTTATATTCCAAAAATATCAAAACAGAAGATGAGAGCAATGGGTAGCCTTTTCCAGCTGAAGCAATTATATCACTAATGCCTCGCATTAGTGATATCTTTGGCACTATTTTTTACATTTATCTTTTGTGGGTTTTTTATTGCTATTATTAAGAGCTTCTTCATAAAATACCAACACGTTCTGCAGCGTTGAACAATAAGGCATACAGTTGTGACAAATTGAATAATACAAAAATAGAGAGGGTGGTGAACCATGCTCGCTCAGTGGTGGGCTACGTTTTTTTAAGTGAGCTCCTTTATTATGACTTTGTTAGCAATGTTCGAAGGTTCATCTATTAACAAAATGGCGATTCTTTTACTTGAGCAGCAGAGGGCAGTGTTTTGCACGTTTTTCTAATAAATAATAACACTAAAAATAATGTAGTTTTTAATATTAAAATATTCCCCCAGGAAGGATATATATTTAGCTTTCAATCTTTTACCAGTTTTCAAGTATGTCCAGGAATTTATCCCACAGGAGACATAGCTAGGTAAAGTAACAAAAAGGTAAACCCCGCCCAAGATTTTAGTCACAATTTGATAGAATGATCTAGAAGATATCACCATAAATAATATACAATAATACACAATTCATCATTGCCTCCCTTCCCCACCCACTGAAATTAGTTACATAGAGCACACTCTTCCACCACAATAGACAGAGAAAAAGAAACACGATCGACACACACAAATAGAGAGAAAGAGAACCTAGAGAGAGCTTTCTCAGATATAAGAATACTGCTCTACTCTTGTCTCTTTTAAACACCGATTAATGTCTATCACTATCTAATGCATACGTAGATATCCATAAAAAAAAAGGTAATTTAAAGATTTACATTAATCCTTCTGGTATAACATTACCCTTTAGATTCAGACTCAACTTTATTATCACTGTACAATGTACATACAAGGACAATTATTATTATTATTATTATTATTATTATTTATATAGTGCCAACTAATTCCGCAGCACAATAAAACACAGTTGGCCTCTGATCAGAAATGCAGCAGCAATTAATAAAACAAAATACTATATAAAATGTAGTCTCAGTGTAAGCTTTTAGCAGTTTATATCTAATACCATAGTACATCTAGTACTAAGAAATACAATCCCTTCTTCATTGATAAAAAGTTTTAACAGCCTAATAATACATTGACATTACTCAATAGTGCCGCCATATACAAATTCAACAATACAGTCCATAGCTCCCAAATCTAAGTAAAATATCTATCCCATAAAAACCACCATACCTGTGCAATAAATGTGCCATACTACCATACAGTTAATACATCTAGTGCAAATAAATTACCCAATCCTTAACAATATACCTTTATCTTTGTGAAACAGAAAAAAACACATACCACAATTCAGCCAATCACATCTATCATACACACAAAACACACTCTGCCACACCCCGACCAATAATATAAAGTGCTTAATGTGAGCACATAGGCTGCATGTATAAAGTGCAAAGTGTGTGCACTTAAACCATGTATATAAAGTGCAAAAAAAAATGAGCACATATGGTAAAGTGCAAGATGTGAGCACATAAAAAGTTCAAGTATACAATGTGAACACGTAAATCATGTGCAAAAAAAAAAATACATAATGAAATATAAAGTGCAGAACGTGGGCACATGTGCATAAAGGTGCAAGATGCATTCACTTTTACCATGTGCATAAGTGCAAATGTGAGCACATATTCATGTGCATAAAGGTGCGAGACACGATCACATCGACTATGTTCATAAGTGCAAATGTGAGCACAAAAGTGTGACAAGCATTAAAACATGACACTCAGATTGATAGAATGCAAGTTTATAATTCAGATTTGCTTATTGTGATTTCCAGATACTATATTGGATATAACAAAGCTTTGTTAGAGAAATTAGTATTTCTAAACTATATACTAGAATTCTAGACCGAAAACCAAAGTATTTGAGGCTTTATATAGCAAATGTAATTTTCATTGCTTTAAAATACAGAATAAAGGCAAATACATAGTTTTGTATTAAACTTCTTAAAAAGTGATGTACATATCCTCTATGAATAATTACATAACTGAATACAGGGGTACCTCGGTTTACAAATCTAATGCGTTCTCCGGGACGTTTCTTATTGGGAAACATTTGTACACCGAAACGCGGTTTCCCATAGGAATGCATTGAAAACCAATTAATCCGCTCTGGAGGTCAGAAAAAAAGTCCAAATGAGCTGGCATGGAAACCAACCCACAATGCAGAACACACAATAAAAGGCATGCAAACGACGAAGTTCAGCTCCCTCCCTTTTCATAGCTTGAGAAATGCAGCAAAAAAGTTCCAAAAAGTCCCAAAAACACTACAAAAAAATTCCAGAAATTGGCTCCAAAACTCGATGCAAAAGCCGCTCCAAAACCTCCTCACTCGTCACAACATGCATGGGGCGGGTGCTATAAACCTCCCAGGCGCAATGCATCCTGGGGAATCTTGCTTTGTATTGTGAAAAAAAATTGTAAACCGGGCATTATTTTCAATGGATTTTTATTTGTAAACTGAAAATTATGTTAACCGAGGCATTTGTAAACCGAGGTAACACTGTATGTCGTTTTCAATTATTGTAGTGGGGGATCTTGATACTTGATTACTCCCATTTATTTTTCTTTTGATTTATTTATTTAATGAATTTTACTCTCATCCAAAAATAGGGATCGGATGATTGTATATAGAAACTTATTTAATTGTTTCATTTCTTTTTCTTTTTATTAGTTTTTCCCCATTTTAATTTATCTTTATCAACGTTATTTATTTATTTCTCGTTTTTTAATTTTTATATTACTTTCATTATATTATTAATAATTATATAGACTCATTGTTATTAATCTTATGTATTATCAATATGTTTGTTATTATTATTATATTGTATGAATATATATTTGAAAACCCAATAAAAACATTTGAAACAAAAATATGAGTCGTCTTATACATGGGGGCGTCTTATACACAGAAACATAGATCCCAAAACAAAGCAAGAATATCTAGTCAAAGTGAGATACTAAATGAATACCAAAGTCAAACAGGAAATGCATGGCAAAACAATGCAATCAACAAACCCTGAACCACAGAAACACACAATCTTAATCTGCATGTTAATATACAAGAAGACAAAGGAGAGGAGAAGGGGGGAAAATATTTGCTTCCTGCCATTATTAAAATAAGGTTATTACTGCACAAAAGCTAGCATAATCTTCCATTTTACAACATGAGAGGAGGCTTCATAGTTTGCATTTTTAATGCGGAGCTATGAGAAAAAAAACACCGCATTATCAGAGGGATGTCCGAAACATCTGCTCCTAAGAACAATCTGCCTCATGCAAGATATCCATGAGCGCGGCAACAGCCACAAGTGCCGAAGATGCAGCAGCACCCTAAATTGAATGAGCACTAAAGGAGGTGTCAATGCCAGCCAGAAACAGCAACCAACAAATCCACCTGGCAAGAGTAGTAACCAACACCAGCTTAAACGGGCAGACATAGGGTACTAGAAATTGACACGACAAAGAAGAATGCAGAAGTGACGAGATCCTAAACATAACGGAACAACATGGAGACCACACACAACTGTGGGTCTGGTGCGATAAACAGATAAAACAGTGATGTGGAATCTGTCTCAGTCCAACGGTAAATCCGAAAGGTAACCCCATGTGGGGAGAACAAAAATGCATCAGTGTCAAACACCCGAACACTGTGTATCAGTGTTTGCGAATCTGCATATGTATTATTGTTTGTGTTTGTGT